CCCTATGTATAGAGTGAGATACCATGAGCATCAGCTGCGTTTGCTGCCAATCCAAAACGGTGTCTCTTTAATCGCTTTCTGTGTCTTCAAACGAGCAAAAGGGATACCCCTAAGTGCTTTCTTTTGGGATGTCTTTTTTTGGCTTGAAAACACAGAAAACGTAAAAAGGACGCCTGCTTCCATCGCGCATAGAGTGAGATAGAGAGGCTGAGAATGGGTAGGGACAGGAAAGAGAGAAAGCTAAAGAAAAAACGAAAGAAAGAAAGATAGCGACAGAGATAGGGTTGCGATTTGGCTCTTTGGAGGAAAAATTGAACCCAAAATCTTAGAAACCAGGGCTTGCGATTTGGCTCTTTGGAGGAAAACTTGAACCCAAAATCTTAGGGACCAGGCTTGCGATTTGGCTCTTTGGAGGAAAACTTGAGCCGAAAATCTTAGGGACCAGGGCTTGCGATTTGGCTCTTTGGAGGAAAACTTGAACCCAAAATCTTAGGGACCAGGGCTTGCGATTTGGCCCTTTGGAGGAAAACTTGAACCCAAAATCTTAGGGACAGGGCTTGCGATTTGGCCCTTTGGAGGAAAACTTGAAAACCCATAAATCTTAGGGGGACCCCAGGGCTTGCGATTTGGCCCCTTTGGAGCAAACTTGAACTCCAAATCTAGTACCTTGGCTTGCGATTTTGGGCTTTGGAAGGAAAACTTTAACCACAAATCTTCGGGGACCGGGCTTGCGGATTTGGCCCTTTGGAGAAAAACTTGAACCCAAAATCTTAGGGACCAGGGCTTGCGATTTGGCTCTTTGGAGGAAAACTTGAACCCAAAATCTTAGGGACCAGGGCTTGCGATTTGGCTCTTTGGAGGAAAACTTGAACCCAAAATCTTAGGGACCAGGGCTTGCGATTTGGCTCTTTGGAGGCAAACTTGAACCCAAAATCTTAGGGACCAGGGCTTGCGATTTGGCTCTTTGGAGGCAAACTTGAACCCAACATCTTAGGGACCAGGGCTTGCGATTTGGCTCTTTGGAGGAAAACTTGAACCCAAAATCTTAGGGACCAGGGCTTGCGATTTGGCTCTTTGGAGAAAAAATTGAACCCAAAATCTTAGGGACCAGGGCTTGCGATTTGGCTCTTTGGAGGAAAACTTGAACCCAAAACCTTAGGGGCCAGGGCTTGCGATTTGGCTCTTTGGCTGGAGGAAAACTTGAACCCAAAATCTTAGGGACCAGGGCTTGCGATTTGGCTCTTTGGAGGAAAACTTGAACCCAAAATCTTAGGGACCAGGGCTTGCGATTGGCTCTTTGGAGGAAAACTTGAACCCAAAATCTTAGGGACCAGGGCTTGCGATTTGGCTCTTTGGAGGAAACCTTGAACCCAAAATCTTAGGGACCAGGGCTTGCGATTTGGCTTTTTGGAGGCAAACTTGAACCCAAAATCTTAGGGACCAGGGCTTGCGATTTGGCTTTTTGGAGGAAAACTTGAACCCAAAACCTTAGGGACCAGGGCTTGCGATTTGGCTCTTTGGAGGAAAACTTGAACCCAAATCTATAGTTACCGGGGCTTTGCGATTTGTCTCTTTGGAGGACAACTTGGCCCACACTCTTAGGTGACCAGGGCTTTTGCGATTTTGTCCCCTTTGGAGTAAAACTTGAAACCCAAAAATCTTAGGGACGCAGGGCTTGCGAGTTGGCCCTTTGGGAGAAAAAACTTGAACCCAAAATCTTAGGGACCCAGGGCTTGCGGATTTGGCTCTGTGGAGGTAAACTTGAACTCCAAAATCTTAGGGACCAGGGCTTATGCGATTTTTGGCTCTTTGGGAGGACACTGAAACCCAAAATCTTAGGGGGGCACCAGGGCTTGCGATTTGTCCTCTTTGGACGGAAAACTTGACCCAAATCTTAGGGACCAGGGCTTGCGATTTGGCTGTTTGGAGGAAAACTTGAACCCAAAATCTTAGGGACCAGGGCTTGCGATTTGGCTCTTTGGAGGAAAACTTGAACCCAAAATCTTAGGGACCAGGCCTTGCGATTTAGCGCTTTGGGTGAAAACGTGAACTCAGAATCCCCCCCCCCACTTTCGGATTTAAATTATTTAAATTATTTAAATTATTTAAATTATTTAAATTATTTGAGTGATTTAAATTATTCAAATTATTCAAATTATTTAAACGATTTAGATTATGTAAATTATGTAAATTATGTAAATTATTTGAATTATTGAATTCCCGGCCGAATTGAATAATTTAAATAATATAAATCCGAAACCTGCCCGTCAAATTCAAATTATGTAAATAATTTAAGTCCGAAAAGGCGGGGGAGCCCGGGCCTCCCCCCAATACTAAATTACGAGCCCGGCCTCCCCCCAATACTAAATTACGAGCCCGCACCTCCCCCCAATACTAAATTACGAGCCCGCGCCTCCCCCCAATACTAAATTACGAGCCCGGGCCTCCCGTAATACTAAATTACGAGCCCGCGCCTCCCCCCAATACTATCTAACCTCTGGCTGGGGGCGACCCAGAGCGAATTAAAACTTTCTAAACTATCTAAACTATCTAAACTATCTAACCTCTATTTTGGGAAAAAAGGAGGTTAGATAGTTTAGATGGCTCAGGGGCTCGTCTCAACTATCTAAACTATCTAAACTGTCTAAACTATCTAACCTCCTTTTTTCCCAAAATCGAGGTTAGATAGTTTAGATAGTTTAGGGGCTCGTCTAAACTATCTAAACTATCTAAACTATCTAACCTCCTTTTCTCCCAAAATGGAGGTTAGATAGTTTAGATAGTTTAGATAGTTTTAGATAGTTTAGAAAGTTTCAAACCTCCTGGGGGCCTCCCCGGAAAGGGGTTAGATAGTTTAGATAGTTTAGATAGTTCAGGGGCTTCCTGAACTATCTAAACTATCTAAACTATCTAACCTCTTTCCGGGGAGGCCCCAGAGGGAATTGAAACTTTCTAAACTATCTAAACTATCTAAACTATCTAAACTATCTAACCTCTGTTTCTCCCAAAATCGAGGTTAGATAGTTTAGATAGTTTACGGGCTCGTCTAAACTATCTAAACTATCTAAACTATCTAAACTATCTAAACTATCTAACCTCCTTTTCTCCAAAAATCGAGGTTAGATAGTTTAGATAGTTTACATAGTTTAGAAAGTTTCAAACCTCCCGGGGGCCTCCCCGGAAAGAGGTTAGATAGTTTAGATAGTTTAGATAGTTCAGGGGCTTCCTGAACTATCTAAACTATCTAAACTATCTAACCTCTTTCCGGGGAGGCCCCCAGGAGGTTTGAAACTTTCTAAACGATCTAAACTATCTAAACTATCTAAACTATCTAACCTCTGTTTCTCCCAAAATCGAGGTTAGATAGTTTAGATAGTTTAGGGGCTCGTCTAAACTATCTAAACTATCTAACCTCCTTTTCTCCCAAAATCGAGGTTAGATAGTTTAGATAGTTTAGGGGCTCGTCTAAACTATCTAAACTATCTAAACTATCTAAACTATCTAACCTCCTTTTCTCCCAATATCGAGGTTAGATAGTTTAGATAGTTTAGATAGTTTAGAAAGTTTCAAACCTCCTGGGGGCCTCCCCGGAAAGAGGTTAGATAGTTTAGATAGTTTAGATAGTTCAGGGGCTTCCTGAACTATCTAAACTATCTAAACTATCTAGCCTCTTTCCGGGGAGGCCCCCAGGAGGTTTGAAACTTTCTAAGCTATCTAAACTATCTAAACTATCTAAACTATCTAACCTCTGTTTCTCCCAAAATCGAGGTTAGATAGTTTAGATAGTTTAGGGGCTCGTCTAAACTATCTAAACTATCTAAACTATCTAAACTATCTAACCTCCTTTTCTCCCAAAATCGAGGTTAGATAGTTTAGATAGTTTAGGGGCTCGTCTAAACTATCTGAACTATCTAAACTATCTAACCTCCTTTTCTCCCAAAATCGAGGTTAGATAGTTTAGATCGTTTAGATAGTTTAGATAGTTTAGAAAGTTTCAAACCTACTGGGGGCCTCCCCGGAAAGAGGTTAGGTTCAGGGGCTTCCTGAACTATCTAAACTATCTAAACTATCTAACCCCTGGCTGGGGCCGACCCAGAGGGAATTGAAACTTTCTAAACTATCTAAACTATCTAACCTCCTTTTCTCTCAAAATCGAGGTTAGATAGTTTAGATAGTTTAGGGGCTCGTCTAAACTATCTAAACTATCTAAACTATCTAAACTATCTAAACTATCTAACCTCCTTTTCTCCCAAAATCGAGGTTAGATAGTTTAGATAGTTTAGATAGTTCAGAAAGTTTCAAACCTCCTGGGGGCCTCCCCGGAAAGAGGTTAGATAGTTTAGATAGTTTAGATAGTTCAGGGGCTTCCTGAACTATCTAAACTATCTAAACTATCTAACCTCTGGCTGGGGACGACCCAGAGGGAATTGAAACTTTCTAAACTATCTAAACTATCTAAACTATCTAACCTCCTTTTTTGCCAAAATCGAGGTTAGATAGTTTAGATAGTTTAGGGGCTCGTCTAAACTATCAAAACTATCTAAACTATCTAAACCATCTAACCTCCTTTTTTCCCAAAATCGAGGGTTAGATAGTTTAGATAGTTCAGGGGCTTCCTGAACTATCTAAACTATCTAAACTATTTAACCTTCTTCTCCAAGAAAGGAAAGTAATCACATAGTACCTAAAGGTCCCTCTTACATATATATATATATATGTGCGGTAGGTACATATATATATATATGATTTATACTTACATTCATATTTGTGATTATTTATATTTGTCTATAAATATAAAAATCTATATATATATATATACACATATATAGATGTATATGAATAATTACATGTTATGTACCATCCCAAAGATCCGAGGAGTTGAGAAGCGGAAGGCGCCCAACTCGCGAAGAACGATCTCCACACACTGCACTGTCGGCAGCAACGGCAAGCCCTCCTTCACAGCCGCTTGTCTCTCCTAGCTCAATACAGCGACGCATGCAATGGTGGCGAATGCCTGGAAGCTATGTGAGGAGCTTGTCACTCTAGCGCACCTGGAGCGCATCGGGGCACCAGAGGACAATGGAACTGCATGATCTTTTGCTATATCCTGCTCGGTGTGTCGGCTTTGCTGGTTTCGCAATCCCACCCTGCAGCTGGTACCTGACACATGACTCACATGACTATCGACTGCGAAGATTCCGGTATTGACGCTGCGAGATAGGAGCAATACAGCCTTGTTGCCTTGAAGCTCCACACCGGGCGCACGCACCAGATTCGTGCCCCACCTGCACAGTCGAGTAAGACCGCTGCTCGGGTGCTGGCGAGAGTGAGTCGTGCTTGCGACTGGATACTTGGTGGTGCTTCGTACGGTAAGACTTGCAAACGCCGCCATTCGGCTGACAGAATTCGTGCATATTTGCGCACAGTCAGCCTGGAGGTGTGCACATGCAGTCGATCGGCCACCCTCTGATTACTGATTCTTGGAAGCAGGTCTGAGATCATTCGTACGCGGACGGCTGCATGCTCTAAGGATGCCAAGTATGCAGAGGACAGGTTGAACGATGACAAAGCATGGTGTCCCCGCAATTTTCTGCACACCTATCGCTTGGCGTTGCCTGTCGAATGTTGGACTTCGGGGATGCCTACATGTATGTTGTTATGTATGTATGTATGTATGTATGTATGTATAAATAAATAAATACAAATAAATAAATGTGAATAAATATATAAATAAATAAATATAAATAAATAAATATATATATATATATATATATATTTATATTTATATTGATATAAATGCATGCGCTGATGGGCAGCCCGCTTTCTTACAAATCATGTTCGCTCCATATTGCATGATCAGGTTCCGGGACGTGCCCAATGAGAAAGACCTCGACTCGTCCGGATACGGTCCTGTTCGGGACTTCGTGTTATAAGGCTCTTTACAGAAGCAATGACAAGTATGGTGTCTCATAGACTTAGCAGATGTCACAAGCGTAGCAAACCAATAGCCTGCACAAAATGAAGCACCGGTACCATTGTAACATTGGAAGATGATTTTTAGGAGTCACCAGCATTGCTTGGTCCCCACAGCAGGAGCTGATTTCCCCGCTGCCATCTGATTTGAGGGCAGTGCTGGAGCTCCTGAAGCCGGTAGATGCATCGTCACAGCCGCACTATGAGGAGTTTGAACTCCCGCATGGCCCGCACGTGTGTCATGCAAGTGCCACAAGTTGCGGTCTGCAAGCCTCGTCCAGCCTCGCATGCCGTCAGGACTGGCTGAGTGGAGATGGCGGGCGACTTCGCCCCTTCGAACAGCTAGAGCCAACGTCACGGTGAGAGCGCGCTCGCCGAAAAAATCTGTCAACCAGATGACATCGCCGCGCCGCAATCTGACGAGGGTTTATAGACCTGCAGCCTGAATCATGTGAGCTGTCACGTGGCACAAGGGCGTGTGTGACAGCATGGCTCCATTCTTCCAGCTGGCCGTGAGGCGCTATGTAGTTGCTCAGAGCTTCCAGGCACGCCTTGTTTTGTGAGCAGTCCACAAAGGATGAGAAGCACTTTGTTGTGGACATTTGTCAGTCTGCTTGTTGGGATGTTTCCTGACTCCCGGGCAGGGTGCAAAGACACCGCAATTTGCTGCGTTCTTGGCCGCTGTGCGGCGTGCGCAAGAACAGTGGCCGCAGCAAGACGCCCATGCGGCATTGCATCTGGAAGTGGCCAGTGCTCACCACTCGCAGCTGCAGTGGGTGAATGCGATGTCTTGTCCCAGGCCGGCAGGCACCTGGAACGGGGATGCGCCCTCTTGGGTAGTGCCACCGTTCAGAGCCCGGTGAGGTGAAAGTCACGGCTGGCCGTGCTTGCAGCTGGAAGTCATGAAGTTGCCTGCGGCGTTGCCTGTTGCAGGAGCTTGAACTGAGGTCCTACCTGGAAGCGGCGCCAGAGTTCCTCGCCTCCGTGCGCGCAATGTCCAGATCGCTTTGCAGGCGGCTTGACATCGCTTGACATCGCTTGGCTGCACGTTTCTTTTGTGGCCCCGCGCCAGGCGGCAAACCAAAGCCCTTCAGGCTGTCATGGACCGAGCCGAGCAGCTCGCAGGTCCCTAGCCCTATAGCTTCAGATGTCAGCGTTGATTAAACGGATGTCCCGCAAATACTTGTAAGATAGATTGTGAGTGATACGTTGCACCTGCATTGCTACGTGTCTTCTCGCGCATGCAAGTATGGATGAAAACAGTGAGGCGAAGGGCTCGAGCAGCGGCCGCGCAAGCGGCGCCGCCGGCCCCGGGAGTCACGGGTGTCCCGCGGATCGGGACTAAGCTGAAAACCAAAGTTTTACCCAGAGTACCACAAAGTACCACACTTTGACTGCGCTTTGTTTTGTCGTTCGAATGTTGAGGCCAAGAGGATGGCGCCCGCACCGAGGAAACAGTCCGATGTAGTCACGTCGTCAGACTTGCAATTCGTTGGCCAGCCCGTGCGAAATCAAACGCAGACTCTCATGGCATGACAAGCATCATTACGGCAGCTTGCCTCGGGCTGCCCCACAGGCTCGAGCTTGTCGGATCAGAATTCACAGCGCAAACATTCCCCATGCTTGTTTTAGAGTGTGACAAGATGACGGATCTTCAAGCCAAGTGCCGCTGCAGCAACGCCCCCTACGCCTTCCGAGCTGCTGCCGCCGCAATGGGTGAGGACACTCGATGCTTCGAGGTCTTCGGAGCACAGGGTATCACAAGAAGCAAGCATTCGTCAGTGCGTTGTGCTGCCAGGTTTTCTTGCGTTCAGAGCTGGATGCACTTCAAACTAGGCATGGCCGGGCAGTAGAGATGACCGTTGGGAGGGGAGAAGGTGGGGAGGTCACCACTCGAAAATCGTCAGGTTAATGGCGCAGTACTCCGCAACGCGGAGAGCTGCTGAAATTGACGCAGCCAAGGCTTTTGCAAAGTGACTCAGACTTCGATTGGGCATGGGAAGCATGGGAAAATGGGCGAGGCCGAATGGCCGGGTCCGTCGCAGGCTGGCTGGCTCTTGTGTTGGCTGGGTCTTGCAGATGCGCTGGTATAAAGATGAGACGATCACCTGCACGTCGTCTTGCACTTGATGCCAGGTGTGTGGTCGCAGCCAGGAAGTCGCAGAGCAAAACCTTGGAGAGCCAATAGAGGACTTACACCCGAAGGTGCCAGACCCAACTTTTGCCCCTTGCCCTAGGGTGCGGGATATGACATGACATCATGCCATCCTGACAGGGGGCGGTGCTGGATGAGAGCGAGCCCCTCGCAGAGGCCATTGGTCAGGCGGGAGTGCGCTTGATCTTGGCCGTTGCATCTTGCTCAGCACGGCACCGCTTATGGCTGGAGAGGGTGGCTTTACGGGTTGTATCCTACCTCGACATGGGCACAGGATGCATGCCAGAGTGCTGTGTTGAGGTGTGCCTCCTGCCAGACTGCTTTCCACGTGTCGCAATATCGGTCCGCCTGCTGGCTATCATGCCCCTTCGTGAAAACGAAGCCCATACAGGAGCAGCGGAAAGTTCCGCAAACATGTTGCAAGAACGCATGCTGCATCAGTAGACCTGCAGGAAGGGGCACGGGCGTGGGGAATCATGGTTTGGAGCTTTCCAAGTCCGGAAACAAATCAAACCTGAAATGCGGTGCGTCTGAGCTCCTTCGATCCGAGAACCTTTCCAAGTCTTGCCTGCCGTGTGCAAGTGTCAGAGTCAAACGGGGCCGTCCGGACCATGATTCTCCCGCAGATCCCCTGAGATATTCCTGGGGACCTAATGGGGGTCTGGGGGAAGGGCCGGGATGAAAGGGCACGGACCCGGAGCTTGTCGGGCCAGAAAAGCTTCTCAACTTCAATGTCCTGTCATTCCCGTGCAACCTTGAACCTCTGGAACGCTTAGAAACCCTCCCCCGAACTCCCTCGAAAGAGGCGCCCAGTAGATGCGACGTAGACGGGAACGGGGAGAGTCCGTATTTTGCGCTGTTTTTGCGCTCGCAGCATCTGGGCACTCTTTTCTTAAACGTGCAGTGGTGGCAGGTCATGCCCGACGAAGCAGCCTTGAACCGCACAAGCAAGCTCCTTGCAAGCTCCGAGTCTGCAAATCTGCACAGGGTTATCTGCACATAGGACCTCGGAGGATGAGAAACACATGGAATCATGCAAGCCTGCTGGCAGCTTGGTAGCGTGTAAAGCTTCACCTCAGGCTTGAGAACATATGACTGCGTCGGCCTAAGCTTCTTTTGACGGAGTTGCAGCTGGCGAAGAAAGTTCGAATTGTTCAGCCGGGAGTGCGCCACCGCAAGGTTTGGAGGGTGACGGCAACCATGCTGCAGCTGGATCATGGCAAGAATGACATCCCCTCGCCTCCTCACATGTGCAGACTGGCAGGGAAAGTCATCCAAGGTGATGACGAGTTTAGCAGCACCTTGGGCAGCAGAGCAGATCACCTGCGACATGGCCAGGAACAAGAAACAAAGGCAATAGATGCTGCTTAAGCGGGGATGTGTGATACAAAGGTGGGCTGCATGCGCGACAGGCGGGCTTCGAAAGAGAGATCTTGTGCGGAGAGTGGCACTCGAAACTTGAAAGTGGCACAAGTGGCCTCGTTTGTCCCAGTCTCGTTTCGGGAGAACCCAATGTCAGCTTCGGTCGAGTTAAGAACATACTGCAGCTGGTATAGCTTAGCAGTGATCCGGGCTTGCCTCACAGGAGACAACGAGCGTCGACGAAGAGGAGCGCGTTCATAATCCCAAGGCCCTTTTCTCCTGGGTGATCTGGCTGCAAGAGCAAATGCCTAGGCCAACAGAAAGAAAAGATAGTTACAGATACAGAATGTTACAGATGAGAGGGTCGGCTTTAAGGCTTTAAGTGAAGGAGGTCCCCTGAGTCAAGCACTCCCCCTCTGCCTTGGACCTGCCTTGGACCCCCTGTAGTTCCTGCCCCTTCCTCCCCAGGGGAGAACTCGGCACACCGTCTCTCTGCTGATAATTCCCCCTCAGTTCTGAAATTTCAGACGAGCCCGGCTACAGATTGCGTGTAGGCCTAGAGTATTTCAGCGACAGGTGTCATTCCCTTCCAGGGGATGAGATTGCTTTTGTTTTTGTTTCGGCTCTCTCCCTCTCTCTCCCTCTCTCGCGCTTGCTCTCTCGCTCGCTCTCTCGCTCGCTCGCTCTCTCGCTCTCTCGCTCGCTCTCTCGCTCTCGCTCTCGCTCAAGTGAAAGGGGAGGCCAGCGGCATCCTTGCCCCTATAGTGCTTTTCGTCGGGCTAGTTCACGCAACCCTGCCTGATGTAGAGATCTGAACCCAAAGCTGCACCGCTCAAGAAGAATCGATTAGACGTCGCTGACCCTGAGGCCCTTTTGCTGGACCAGCTCTCGATGCAGTACGAGTTGGACTTTGGGGTCGTACTCACCGGGCAAAGCTTTCTGTGGCTCAGATGAAATGACAAGATGGTGGCCAAGTCTGTAGTCTCCCACAGGGAGAAGTTGCGCAGTCTGAGGCAGACAAAGCCCAGGGCCGAGAGCGAGTTGGACATGAACATAAGGCGTCAGCCTCAACTCAGCTTGCACTGCCTCCCACACTGTGATAATTGAGGCACATGAGACATACAATGGCCGTTCTAGCGAGGTTCTTGCCAATTGATCGGAGTTACTTTGAACATGCCCAGTTGCAGAGCAGCACGAGATAGGCCACAAGTCACAGGCTTCTTCGTTTACCAGCACCAGCCAGCGCTTCACCCCAACAAGCTGATGCTTTAAAGCCATCTAGTTCCCAACGGGGTCTCGGCCCCAGTGTAGTCTCGGAGCGCGTTGGCCCTCCGACTGGACGCCATGGCCATGCGCCCGAGCAAGGATCCCGCAACGATGCGGGTTGGAGTGAATCTGGGATCTGCGGAAGAGGAGGAAAAAGCGGCCAAGGTTGCCGTCACCATGCACGAGACCATGGTGCGGACCTTGAACCTGGTGAGACTTGCCGCTGGCTGGCACTTCCTAGCAAAGCGGCCCTTTCCCCATTCCCCAACCCAAGCAAGTCTTGCGCAAAGTAATGCTGCAGCACCTGGATCAAGATGGAGAGCAAGGTGATTCTCGGCTCGCCGGTGGTTGTCCAGAGCATCTTTATCCACTCCGTCGACCTTCCCAGTTGGCTGATGCGGCTCTTCGTCCCTTGGCCAGCACTTCTTGTTCCCTTCTGTGCATTGTTGGCGATGGGCGCTGGGGCACACCGAGGCCATCTATGCAGTGGTTGGTGTAGTCGGCGCTTTGGTCGCTCCGGCAGCTTAGATGAGAATGTCTCAGAGACACAACAGGCCTTTGAAAATGCAGCTTAAGCCGACTCGATGCTGCACGCCCCGTATTTAAGGAACAGGCGTTCTATGCATTTGGTTTGAAGGAGTTCCGATGGGCCTTCCTTCGGCTGCAGCTTGATAGCAGCTTCAAGGCACACAAAGTCTGGATTTCGAAGGGGCTTGCTCCTTCCCCCCCCCCCCAAGGTATCCTGAGGCTGCTTCTTGGAATGGAAATCACCTTCCCGACAGCGACGCTTGCATTTCGAAATCTCTGTTGGGAGGCCGCTTCAGACCCAGCATAGATAAACGCAGGTGTAAGCCAATGCAAGCAGATGCAAGCGTAAGGAAGAGAGGTCTAGGCCTGTGGGGCTTTGAAAGGTGCAGACGTCCTGGGAGAACTGGCCGGTGTAAGCGTGCGGCTGAAGTGGAGCACTGTTGACAAGTTCCTGACGTTGGATTCTGCTGGCTGGGCAGTTCCTGGTCCAGAGACTCTGGCTGCAGATCTGACGCTTCAGCCTGTGTACATCAAGGGACAGCAGCTACCCGACACATACACACTTCAGCTGCGCATTCCGAGCTCAAAGTGGGATGACCACTGGCTTGCATGCACGCCAGTGAGCCATTTGCGTGTGGGAGGCTGGCTTCGCGCATACCGCTCGCAGCAGGATGCATCCACCTTCAAGCTGATACAAGACAGCTCCTGCCCTGTAGGGACCTGCAAGATCTTGAGCACTTGGTCGACCCCACCCCAGCAGGAGCCGATCTTCACCACCAAGGATGGAGGCTGCATGCCAGCTGGGTTTTACCTAGTTGACCAATGCCATGGCGGTCGCAGCTATGTCGGTCAAGCTCCAGATGCAGAGGCCTCCCATTTCGAGTTGATTTTGGCGTCGGAGTGAGACAGAGCGCCGAGCCAGGGGTCAGATCTTTCAAAGCCGTTTGAAGTGGGGCTTGTTTCGCTGAACCATGGTCCCGGCAGACACGAATGCTCGGACAAAAAGTCGCTCTCGGCTTGTGTCCCGAGATGCTGCAGGAATGCTGCAAGGTGCGCTGAAGTCCAGCTTGTCAGTGACTGGACCTTAGGCCCACCTGGACCACGCCGATGAGCAAGAAAGGGCTCATGGCCGCTTGGCCGCGTCACATCAAGAGTACGGAAGGTTCGCTTGCACGTTGCGAGCGCCCGATTCTGCGAGGTTCTGAAACAAGTGTCTTCGAAGCACGACGTCGAGACTTGACATGAGATTGTATCAGCTTCAGAGTGCAAGTTCGTTTTGGGTGTTAAATGGTGTGTCTGTCTGGCCCAGTTTCCGTTTATTCTGATGACGGAGAACAGCCGGTTGCTAACTCATTCTTCTTGCTTGTCGACTTGGCTGGGCTCTTGCATGGCTTTGGGCTAGGCCCTAGATTTGTTGCCTGTTGAAGTTGCGCTACTCGGTTACTCGTACTGCTCAATTCTTGTAGAGCGCAACTTGACTGCTTTCTGGCTTTCGCGCATTGCTAGCGACCGCTAATTGTTGTTGCTCCACTTGCCTAACTTGCTGGCCCGGAAGATTTCATTGATTTTGCCCCACTTGCCCCACTTGAAGTGGGCCAAGTGGGGCCAGTGCATGCTGGGCCCCACAGCCATACCCCGCCATCGGCCACTCCAACCCTTCCAACCGCCACGGCTTTAAGGGCATGATGGCAGGCTCAAACCGGGCCGTCTTTGAGGCGGGCTTGTGGTTAGGGTCAGGGCCGCGTGACTGAACATGGGGCAAGTGGGGCAAGCGGGGCACCTTTCCTTCCATGGTGTTGGAGGGGGGGGCGGGGACAAACAGGGGGGAGGGGGAAGGAGGGGCAAGTTGAAGAAATCTTGCAGTGTACGCCGGGCAAGTGGGGCAAGCGAGGCAAGCGAGGCAGGTGGCAGAAAACGCTAGCATGGCACTTTTGCGCGCGCACAGATCCTTTCAACAACCGCCGAGCTTTGCACAGGGCGTGACTTCATTCATGGTGCAGCTCGCCATCGAGCAGACCGCTTGCAGAAGTCCTGCGCGAGCTAGGAGAGCCTGACCCGACTTGGGTCATGAAGCTCTCAAAGCAAAATGTGCCCCCCCCCCCCCCACATTTCATAAGTTCACCCCATGGTCAGCTTGGGCTCGTTTTTCAGAAGTGTGGACAAGAAATGCTGGGCTGACATTTCCCTGCCATCCAACCTCGTGTCGTGACTTCCGTGATAGCTGTGATCAGCTTCTTGAAGTTACAACGTTCACTTCACCTCGGCGTTGCGTAAATTAGTAGACTTTCTCCTGTCGGTTAGTTTTAGATCCATGAAGTGCAATATTGTCAGCAATCTTCCGGGCCATGGGACTGCTGCCCAAATGCACCCCGCCCAGGACGACGAAGATGACGAAGCAGAAACGATCCGGACTGGAACGTCGGCAAACAGAGGCAGAGGCCTGGAAGAGCCTCTTTTACCACATAACCGCCCCTCTCCCCTTATCCTCTGTCAGCCTGCGCTCCAGTGACTCTCGTGTCGGCCGAAAAGGCCCCTCAGTTGCGAAGACCGGGCTCAGGGAACTCCGGGTCAGTTGTTTCTTTGTCGAATTTTGGTTGTAATTGGCGCTTTTGGGCATAGAAGTTATGATGCGAGGCTTAGAACATCTGCAGAGGGCGTAACATGACAAAACTGCCACCAGAAGTCCCAAATGGAAGCACATTGAAACTCCTGGCAGGATACTTTGACCGGATCGTGATGCACCCATACAGATCCGGCCGCGTATCCTGGGGAATGCTCACGCTCATTGCAGCCAAGTGGCAGTTAGTTGGTGGATCGGTTGTGGGGTGGGCTCCTGCAGTGAGAACACGAGAGTCGCCTTCCGCGAGTCGGCTTGGCATGGCTCGGCTCGGCTTGTGGGTTCTGTGCGGTTCCGTACCATGAGGTCGTTGCGTGGGAAGCCCTTGCAATGCCATTGCTGTTGTTTGACCTCGGTGAGCTCAGCAACACACTGAGCAGCAGCCCGCTTGCAAGAGCAACTCCGTTTCATTGAAGTGGTGCCATGCTTCTATTTCGAGAACCTGAGAGCCTAAGGCATCACCGGAGCCATGCTTGGCTTCTGGATTGCCCCTGCCTCAGGTGATACTGGAAGCACGTCCCTGCGCAGTGGGCAGTTACTGGTGTTTAGGCAGAAGGGAAACCCGCTGCCATCAACCCTTAAGGTGGACATCTGCATCAATTGCATCACGGGTGTCGATCGGGGAGGCCAAGCACCGGGAGCAAAGATGAGTTCATTTAGAATGTGTGCATGGGGGCGCCAGGTGTAATTGACTTGAGCTTCAAAACTGCCTTCCGAGTGTCGCTGGGCTGCAGCCATTGCCTGTCATAGCCCTCGGATTCTGAGCAGTTGCCGCAAATACTCCGAGGTACGCAACCACATGGATGTTGCCTGACATAGTGTCGCCTTGCAGCATGAAGTGCTTAGGGCGACTGTGATGGCTCGGCTCGCCATCCGAGCCAAGATCGCACACCGTGTAATGTGCAAGCGTAAAAAACGATCTAGTTAGCACTTGTTGTCTGAGGATTGTTGCTCTGGACGTCGTGGTCCTAGCGGCTCTCTCAGACGATACAGCAGGCAAGGGTGGCATGGTAAATAGTGGCAAGGGTGGCATATCAAGTCGTGACAAAAACGGTGCAGGAGACACGGCCACATCTGCAGGAAGCCAGGGCATGAGGCGCTGCTTAGTCTTCGCAGCAGATAGGGCCGCATGTATGAAACTTCTTGCATGTCTGTGTGGCAAGGCTTGCTCGTGCTTTGCGGCTGCTCCGGCTGATACGGCTCCTACGAGCGCCACAGCAGCATGGTGCTTGCATGCTTGCTGTATCTGGCTGTAGAGTAGAGAGCCCGGCAACAGCATTGCCGAGCGTTGCTGCTCAGATATACAAAGCATCATCGGCGGCCAATTTCCTCGTCGATTATATCCGTTCGCCTTCTTTGCTGATTGCTGCATGGATGCCAATAGCCGTTTGTTCGGTAAAATTTGAATTGGCTTGCTTGCAGTCTGTCATATCTGGTGCAGACTCGGGAAACATTGAGGCTTCGAAAATTGCCTGGACTGACTGACTGCTTGATTCCGCGCTGCTGTGCGCGTCGCACCCACGGACCGAAACATGGACTGACGATCGACAACGTGACTGAAAGGACTCTGCTGACAATTCTGTTCATCAACCACTACATCGCTTGTGGATGGCAGCTTGCCCGATAAAAGTAAGAGTGGGTGGGTACGTGTGGTGTGTCAAATCCGGAGTAAGCGACAGAGTCCGTCTGTCAGTCAGCGTATGTGTGTGCGCGTGTGTCTACACATAGTAACATAGTAGAGTCTACTGCAGAGTCAGCGCAGGTCAAGAACTCCATCTGCCATGTTCACACAAGTCGGGCCATTCCAAAGAGAGTCTTCTTGGTCTAAAGTCCGGCCCAAGAGGCCTTAATTACAAAGCAAGCGGCTAGGGGGCGGAGTCGCTCAAGAACAGTGCTGGAACCATGGCACGAGCCGGGGACAGATCAGGGCATGTTCAAGCATATGCAGAAGTATGGCCTCCCGCGTCTTTGAATCATCTTTGGTTTGCGTTGTGAGTCTTGATTGGCTGCCTTTCGCAGGTGCGCAATTGCGTATTTCAACGTGGACACTTGGACGCTGCTCTGCCTGTTCAGCCGATTTCATTCAACCAGAGAGGAACACATGGCATGACCGGTGTGTTGTCCTCTGAATTGCGAAAGGTGGATCCTGGCATCTAACCTGGAGGAAGCAAGCTTCCTGGAACTGTCACAAGGTTGCAAAAGAGGTGTTGACACAGCCTTCTCCAACATCTTGGCATTGCAAACCCCTCAACAAACTAGTGGGACTACGTGCCGCTACCATGAGGCACCTTAGCAGGAGAGGAGAATATGTATTTAGAAGAGCGTAGTTTCACAACAGCTATCACACAATGCGGAGTCCAAGCCGTCCCCGCAATATCAGAGGGCTGCATCTTCAGGTGCACAATCAATGGCCCTCATGCCTGCGTAGAAGAACAAGAGTACACAGAGACAGAGAGAGAGAGCCAGACTTTTCGACAGCATTGCCTGGGGGGGGGGGGGCGCGTGACCAATCGTGACCATGCGTAGCTAGTTGGTATGTTTCGCCATGTCACTGTGGCGTGGCTTGGATCACGCAACTGTACCGTAGGGCAGCTTAGAGAGGGGGATGTCCAGGAGTCAAGTCCATGTTGAAAACGAGCCTTTCCACGTGTTCACCCCATTCGGGGCACATGTGAAACGAGGGAGCTGCCCGCCACAAGCCCTCGATGACAGCAAGAGAAATCAGAGAAATCTGTTTGTCTCAGGTACCTGTCGTCGTTACACTGGAGTCTGACGCAGTGCCGAGGATGCACTACGCAAGTACGAATCACTTGCTATTTGAAGAACGTATGACGATGGTGGTGACTGGAGCTTGACTCAACTGTCGCACCTTCCGCAGCAGCACAGGTTGCGATGGGGTTGTTATTCCCCTGCGGTGCGTAGCCCCGGGACAAACATAACACCAACTGACCACATTCCTTTGTTAGCTAGTAGCATGTGTCCAAACTCGATGAAACAGATTCCAGATACCACGCAGTACCACAAGTTTCTGGGGTTTGAACATTAAGTTCCAGTGAATCTGTAGTGGAAATGTAAAATTTCAAGATCCAGGCGATTTTCTGGATCTTTCTGGTTAAGTTTCAATTTCTTGGTGGAAGCACAACTCTCCCAGACCGGGGGTTTGTTCAGCAGATTGTCTTGCAAATGACAGGTTCTCACCAGCGACAAACAACATTGCACCACAGAATGTCCTTGAGCGCAGCGTGGCGGCCTTCGTGGCCTGGACGCGGTTGATGAATAGAGATGTCCGCTGAAAGCAATTCTTCTTCCGCGCTCTAGGTGCCCGGCGTCTGCATGCGGCTCTTTTTTTGGTCTTCTTCGGCCATCAAAAAAGCACATCGTCAGTTTAAGTCGAGCTCAGGTGGTGATATTTGCGCTGTTGGTGTTCTCTTCCTTCGTCAGCAGCGCCTCGGGCTTCAAAAGGGTTAAGCAAAAGCTGCAGGTACCAGGGCAGTGGAGCTCCATTCGCACCTGCAGTGTTTACCATTCCCATGCGATGTGGTTCTGTCTAAGTCTAGAGTGGCCATGAACAATGCCCGGCCTCAGCGCCGGCCAGCCCCGAGAAGCATGACATCATAGTAGCTGCAGCTAAGGCATTACGAACCACATGAACCAGTTGCGCATTACCAACATGCGCATGATCGAGGAAGACATGCAGCTGAGGAAGCGGCGTTGTTCATGCCATGCATGCCATAGCGTGTGCAATTATAATTGCAGCAGTCTTGGCACCACGCTTAGCACCACCTGGGCTTGACAAGTTCGCAGTTGCAGGAATTTTTTTGAGAAGCGGATGATTTCTGTGGACTTGAGCGGCCGAATTCAGCATTTGTTCAAGAAAGGAGGCTTGCCCAAATTGCGACCACTACATGTGATCATGTTCCAGCGCTGGACATCGCGCTTTGTCGCAATGTAGGCCTAGTAGTTACTATGCAGCTGGGAGGGCCCTGTGCTTCAGTGCCCGTAAAGTGGATTGTTCGGATTTGATGAAGCATGCTGTCTTCTGAGTGGCACGCAACTTAGGAACCGGGCTTCACATGAGGCGGCACCTTGATTGAAACAACGCTCTCCGTCACTGCCGCTACGTATGTTCCCTCTGGCATTTGAGTCAGGCTGCTTTCGGCACAACCCACTACAAGTGTGATCCCATAGCCTTGGCCGCTATTTCCAAATACATACCATCAGTAACATCAAGAAAAAGCTCATACACCCGGATCGAAGGGCCGTCATCGAACGAGGCTTCCCCGTACTAAGGTCCAGGAAGATTGCGATCTTGTAAGACCTTTCCGGGGCAAGACCTCCGGCTTTTGTCTTGTTGCTGATGAATGCTGTTGAGTGTTGTGTTGAGACATGCGGACGGTGGCATCTGAGAGAAAGGCTTCGAAAATCGTCCACAAGACAAGAGCATGACATGGTGCTTCCAAGTAAGGCCACATGTTGGAGACATCCCATTCCTCAAGGTCGGACTGGCTGGGAGTTGTTTTTGGAGCTAATGAGGCCTGAGGTCGTGGGCGGCAATCACCGTAGCCGCCCCGGCAGGATATGCCAGAGAGTTTGCGCATACACCTTCACAACGAGCCCCTCTGCAAGCACATACAGCTGTCAACTTCGCATTGGTGGCAGAGAATGGCAGAGATGTGCATGCCCAAAGTGCGTCACAAGATTATGCGGAGGCTGTATATGCGGCATTTCTACGACACGCCTGTCTTCAGCAAGGCAGCAGCCTTGCTTCGCGCAACAGTTGTTTCCATCTTCTTTCCATTGCCTGGCATGTGGCTGAATGTGGCTTTGCTGACAGACCCTTCCACTGGACCGGACGCTCTTCTCCAAGATCTGCCACCATGCATTTGAGGCCTGCTGGAATTGGGCGTCTCAGACCTGTGGGGGGTGTGTTCGTATGGCTCAAGATTTGGCGTGAGTATCCGCCAGGAGCGATTCTATCCGGCATCGTTCGAAGTTTTTGTTGATGGCAGCAATGCGAAATTCGCCGTGATCAATGTGAATGGTCACATGGCACATGAAATAGTCGTTGAGTGTGCGATGGCTGTGTGAAATCAGCTTTCCTTCCTCGATGGCTGTTTGGATTTACAATTCCGATTTGTGCATTGCTAGAAGTGCTGGTGAAGTTCTCTTAGGTGACCTCATGTATCCTCCCCAACTTCTTTAGTAGTGTTCATCTTCTGCTCAGGTGACCTCAGCTATTCCTGGATGCAAAGTGCATGGGATACACCTCCTTCAGCACCACGGCTGATTTCTCACCCGTCATGCCTCTTGCTGGGCCCAGGGCATAGGGTCTATGGCCGGGCGATGGACCACGCCTCCACGCACGTGACGGCTCACTCGGTTGCTTCCATCCGAGGGTTATCGAATCGGGGATTGGCCTCATGTATGATTCTGTTCTTGTACGGTCTAGTCTTGGGTTGCAGCCTGGTATACGGTAATTACACTCGACTTCGAAGAAGGCGTCTGCAGTCTCAAAGACTCTCCAGCTCAGGGCCGCCAGGGGAACCTGATGGGCAACGCAACGACCATGGTCAAGGCGCAGCTTCGCAGTTCGATCATTCTTCTGGTCAAACTGGTGCTTTTCAGTTCTGCCGCGGCCCCTCGCAAGAGTGCGACAAACTTTGCTAATGCAGCTTCGGTCTCAGATCTGGTCACCTTTAGCCGGAAGGTGCCGCTGGGCGCCTGGCTAGCTGAAGCAGTACTCTGGAGCATCCCGGCACATTATTAGGAAGGGGTTAATACTGAGTTCAGTGTCTTTAAATTCATCGCATGGTTCTGTGCTGCGAAAAGGGGTGTTCAGGGCTTCGGGGGCCCCCGGAAGGCCACCTGGTTACCAAGCAACGGGGATCTGGGGCCCAACTCGTTATACAGCCTGAAGCCAGCAAGTAGAAAGATCGTCAGGCATTGCCTATCAAGCCTGTATGTAGGATACTGGAAAGGTTTTCTATGTGCTGCTGTGGGATCATGCACGATTCTCTTGTTCCAACAACTCCGTTTGCGTTCCCATGTGCTTGTGGCAGTCCTTGCAGAATCACCTCTAGCATCTGTCCGCAACTACCGTATTGAGCTCTGTCAGCTCTGGAGTATCAGGATCTTCTCGAGTCTATCACACCGTGGCAATTAGCTCCTCAGCAAAGTGGTTCTGCAACTACTGTAACTTAACAAAAAAAGTCGAATCGCTCTCACCATTCTCACCTTCTCCGGACTCAGATCTAGGTACCAATCTAGGTACACACCATTGACATGACATGAGAGCATCAATTTTTGGAAGCTTTCTTTGTCACTCGCTGATGACGAAAGTCTTCAGCTCTTGTTTGTTACTTGTTCGGAAAGAAGCTAGGCCGGCCAATCAGATCTACAAGTGTATCTTCATTCTCATGCAGGCGTCTTGACAGTCGTTTCGAGCCCGACACGTTTCAGCTGACCATGTTTGGCTGCTGCACTCATATCCCAAGAGAAGTAGAGGCTCAGAGGCTCGAAAAGCTCTGAAGGGACAAGGGCCAGGACGAAATGCCGAATTGCGATGTTAAGTCATAGCCGCGAAGCACTTGGTTCCAGTTGCTTGCTCATACGCCATCCGGTTTTCGAAAGTCAACGCACAGTCCATCACTGTCGTTTGCTCGCGAGTCCCAAGCATGCATGGCCCAGCTGGACCTTGAGAGTCCGAAAGTTCGAGTCGAAATCACCACCCGTCTGTCGCTCGCGAATCATTCCTTGCCGGATGTGGTCACTCACAATCAAAGGAGCAGCTGCTGTCACCACGACTCTCACACTCCGAGGTGAATGGGTACATCGCGGCCTACTCGAGTCAGCCTCTCCCAGTGAGATTCTTTTGCTGGCAACTGGGGCAGCAGCGGGGATCAGACGGGATCAGTTTGCTTGGAGTTGTCGGGCTCTTGTTTTGGCAACCCGAATGTTGGGGAGTTTGGCTTGGGAAGAACCAATTAAGGCGGTCCCGAGATCGACAGAAAAGAGTTTCTTAAGGAGTTGGCTATTCTGACCCCGAACAGGTTCGAAAACCATGAAATCCAAACTTGGCCTGATCGTTTGGGACTGTAATAAGCTGAGTCTAGGACTCTAGGATAGGCAATGGGGTTGATTAAGTCTCAGGGAGGTCAGGGCGACATCTGACGACTGTGCACCCCCCTCATTCCAACCTCTGGCCTCGCGCTTGCTGCAAGGACGTCAGCAGTTTCACCTACCAGTGCCACAACCACGGCGGACCCGTTTACAACCTCCTGAGGAGGGTGGCCGTGCTTGCGATAGCACATCGCGCAGCTTTGCCGAAGAGACAGCTTGGGCATGATGTACAACTACGTCATCTAGTCTGCCATGTTGCTATCGTGATCGGCAGCATGGCCTTTTTTGGCACAGCCGAGGAGCAGCTCAGTCGGCCTGTTGCTCAGCATCCGTATCCTTAGTCGTGTCGACCATGCTGATGCACATGATACCTGTTCTAAGCAAAAGGTAGGCTTTCGCTGAGGAGAGGCGTCATCCTGTGAGTTTTCGCGACCTGAGCATGTTCTGGGCAGGGCCACGGCAGTAACGGACTTGCCCCTCAGTGATTTCGCTTGGAAGAACATCCTGGAGCGAGCTCCGTGCTGAGCAGTCTGATTCACATGCTGATCCCCAACTTCATGTCCAGAGCCTGGCTCGTGCCGTGTCCAGGCAATGAAGCTGCAGACGATGAACACGGCTTCCTGGCAGCAGCTTCTTGCAGCATAGGGTTTTGCATTCTCATGATTGCCCCGCCACGTGCTCAACTGGATAAGGTCATCAATGCCATGACGCGTATTTCGCTGAAGCGACCGCTCTAAGTTAATGTGTGCGCATGCAACCTGCGGACAGCCAAGCTGCCAGGATCATTTTGCAGGCAGATGTTTGCTTCTCTTCTCAAGCAACGCAACAAAACAATCGATGTAGTTGGCCAGACTCTTGTACAAGTGGCTTGCACGAACCCGCAGTTGGCCGTCCTCTGGGTCCAGTGCCTGTACAGCTATGCAACAGTCGGATCTCCAAATCACGATCCCGGGCAGTGTGAATGCATCGATTGATGCTGCAAAGAAGGCCAGGTGGTTTCGAATTCTTTGGGAACAAGATTGGCGGTTCGATAAGGACGCAGGGATCTACTAGGCTTCGTATGCAAGATCTGTTAGGTTGAAATAGCAGGGAATCTGGGAATAATTGGGGATGAATATTCTCATAGATGAAAGATCTAAATCGTTCATTTTAAAATCATTTCTTTAAAATAACCTAATGAATCTTTCGAATCGCAATGGAGTCTTCATCATACTGGCTGCCAGCCGATGTGTTTTTGGGGTTTTTGGTTTTACCGGTCTCGGTGTCGAATCCTGTGGTCGATGTGGAGTCTGTTCTGTCGAGATACAACTAATGAGAGTAGACAAAAACGGTACAGGGCACCCGTGGGTTATAAACGGTATTTACGAGGAAAAAACGAGAACGGCAGGACATGGGGGGGGGGGGGGGGGGGGGGGTGTCCATATATTATATAGAGAATATCGATCTTTCTATGGTTCCCATGTAGATGCAAAGGGAAAATGAAAATTGATTGAGACATGCAGTTCTATATAAAGCTAGAGAACCTATGATGTTTTCAGTATCGTCGGTAGATTATGTCGGAGTTTCAGATCACAAGTAGCGACATTCAGAGACGATTCTCGGAAGTTACATGTAGAAATTGAAATAAGAGTTGCGCATCAAGAGTCATTCTTCCCACATCTATTGATTTATCATCTATTCCCTAATCCTAAGGTTCCTGTTCGAGAGTATTGTCGGAAGCATGACAAAGGAAAATCTTGTTCCCGTGGGCTTGGTTTTCGGATCTATGCAGCTCCCTGGACGACTCGGAATTATGTCTTGTTGAACTCGTAGTCTTCATTGAGCATGTTCGACGAGGCACGACGCCCGCTGAGGAGGCTGATTCCGCCGGCTAAGATCCCTCATGCCTGTGTGATAACGACAGGGCAGCCCATTTTGCCTTCATTGTCCAGGAGAAGACCGGTAGCCTCCAAAACAGGACTCAAAGCCAGCATGGCGCGCATATCGATCGGGGGAGTCCACGTTTTGAGGTTGTTGGTTAAAAAAACTGCTGAAAATTGTACAGCCGCGCGTTCCCCCCTTGCGATATCATAGCAAAAGTGATTTAGGCAGGGCACGGGCGATATTAATACAGAATTTCATACTACAAATTGTTGTGTCCGGACAAATGTGGGGTCCTCCGCACGGGGACAGGCTCTGAAAGCCTCTGAACACCCAGGTGCTTAGGAACCACACACCAAGGATGCGGGGAGGTCCGCGTTTTGAGGTTGTTAGCGCTGAAAATTGTACTCCCCCGCGTTCCCCCAGTTTACTCCCTTGCTAACACAGCAAATGTACTAGGCCGGAACATGCGATGGTAATCGTTCCATGCTACAAATTGTTGTCCGTCCGGGCAGACGCGGCACTCGGTGGTACTGTCTTCCGGCATACGTAGCAGACCCGAAAGGCAACCTTGAGCGGGCACATGCCTGAACCCATACGTTCCTATGAGTCCCATTCATGAGCTGAAAAGCATTGAAAGCTACAGATGCGCAGAACTTTCCAGCTGGGTTTCCGAAGGCGGCAGAAGGGGTCGGGACCTCAGCAAGTTTCTTAGCCCTGTCCACTTCAGGGTTTTGGAGGTGCGCCGAAGTGCCCGGATGTTCGATTCAAGGCTTCAAGCCAGAGTTGAGGAGGTTGAGACAGGCGTCGTGTACCCATGTGGCTTCAGCTTTGTCCTGTGTCATGCCAGTGTAAGTCCTTTGCTCGGACGTGGGGCGACGATGCAAGCCCAGATGTGGGTCCCGCTGTGGCTTTGGCTCCCTGCTTTGGCTTGGACCTTCTCTGACAGAGAGTTAATCGAGGCTGTGAGGCGCGGATACGGCGCCCATCTCTTGCAAAGTGGCGACTTCAATATCAGCACCATACGTACGGACGATTGGTATAATGAGACGTTGCTTCATCTTGCAACATTTGCAACGTATCGTCCTCTAACCTTCGAGGTTGTGTACCTCCTTCTGCAGGCCTGGCCGGCAGGAGCGCAGGCCAAAGACGTTTGGGGCAGGACGCCATTGCACACACTGGCAGCATACCCTTACCAGGCCGTTCGCGGCAACTACTTAGAGGAAACCGTGTCGGCATTCAAGCTCTTGGTGGACGCATGGCCAGACGGTATTCTGGCTACAGACAGGGATGGGCACACACCGGACGAGTTGGTTGATTTTTGCCCTTTGCTGCTGCAGATTGCATGCAACGAGACGCTTGGCATCCCAGTGAAGTCACTGACGAAGAACAGGGCAGTGAGCCTGGAGTGCAGCGATCTAGGGCTTTTGACAGTGAAGGACTGGGTGCTTTTTCTAAGCTGCGGCGGCGATCCTAAGGCAAAAGACCGGGGGGGCAGGATGCCTTTGCACACTGTAGCAGCAAACTGTTACGACTACTTCTATTACGATCATGGTTATAGTTATGGTGACGATGACTATGCCGCAATTGTCAGAAGCAGTGACAATGTCGAGGAAACCGTATCAACACTCAAGCTGTTGGTGGACGCATGGCCAGACGGTATGCTGGCCACAGACAGTGATGGGCACACACCTGACGAATTGGTTGACGTCTGCCGTTTGCTGCTGCAGATAGCATGCAACGAGACGGTTGGCATCCCAGTGAAGCCACTGACGAAGAACAGGGCAGTGAGCCTGGAATGCAGCCAATTGGGGCTGCTGAAAGTGAAGGACCTGAAGCTTTTTTAAAGCTGCGGCGGCGATCCTCGAAGATGTTCGGGGCAAACCACTCGGGGAGCATCTTGCGGATTCCGAGGCACAAGAGTTCTGGAGGACGCGCGGCGCCTCGTGGAGCGCCATCGCCTTGAGTGTCCTCCAGGACTGGCGCAGCTGGGCTCTTCCTGGTTCGGCAGCTATTGCAGCTTGTGCCGTCGTCCGCATCCAGCTTTGCATGCAGAAGCCAAGGCCCACGCAAGACACTGCAGACTCGTTTGCAAGGGGGGCCAAGCTATTGGTAGCCCAGGCCTCCCTCAAGCGCAGTGGGTTATGGAAACTGTGGCGAGCATTAGAGGTGTTCGTGGGGATTTGTTTCTTCGGCTTCGCCCCACTGGTAGCGCATTGGTTTTTATGGTATCCACTAGTGGTAGTTCTGTACATCGTGCCAGCCGCCAGCCAGTACGGCATCAGAATGCTTCTTCGCATTCCGGTCCTCGCAATATTGACCAAAGGCTTGGGAGCCCAAGTGGCTGCACTCTTCCGCACAGCACTGCTGCTTGTAATTCTATTCCTTTTTGCGAGTGCGCAGCTTGTACAACAGGGCGACGGTTGGCAAACTGTAGAGCTTCTATACATGGGCATCGGAACAGCTTTTTATACGCTGATGACCAAGGCCGACAGCACATGGCGGCTTAGTCAACTAAATGAATTCTGGATGTTTTTGTGGGTCCCACGCGGGGTGACAGCTAAATGGCTCGTGCAAGTGAGCATCGTTGTATTCGCATGTCTCCTCTGCTTGTACTGGATTTGCTTGATTTTTTCCATCCTCCGTGGCTGCGCATTTCGCTTGCGTCATCGCGGAGAAGCGCCAAGTCCGTCCGTTAATCAATCGAGGGAGCAGAGTGTCCGTGAGCTGCTCCAGAGGCACCCGGACGAGTTCAGGAGGGTGGGTGATGGCAGCATCCGCCCCATGGTACCCTTTACCTGGCCATGGCGGAGCACTGGGTTATGGCAACGCGTGGCTTTGGTGCTGTTTGACGTTGCACTTGACCTCAATACGATCTTCGCATTCATGTTCGCGCGGCACTACTTCTTCGCGGTTTGCATGACCTTCGTTGTGGTCCAAAGCTTATGCAAGCAGCTGAGCGTCATCAAACCCTGGCGCTTGCGGCAGGCACTCGTAGATTACCTTGTGTGGGCTGCGTGCCGGCTTTGTAACCTCTTCTCGCCAGAAGTAGGGATCAGACTTACCGTGCCCAGAATATGAACAGATGTGGCACCTGCCGTTGTGTAAGTAGGTAGGTTAGTTCAGGTGAGCCAGCCGTTTGGTGATAACTGCAGTAGGGCGGCGTCTGACCGTGCTATGTGCTAGGAAGATGGAGGTGACGCTGATGCGGGATTATTCTAAAACTAAGAAAGACCCACAGGGCCCGGCCTCCACAACTCGCTCCTTTTCCATTCGGAGCCAAACTCGTGTGCCTTCGGAGAGACAGTCGATCGCCTGCCGGGAGGGCTACCGGAGGGTTTCTTCCACAGCTTTACACTGCTTCAGAACCTCCTCCTTAAATGTAAGTTCAAGCCCTCCTGAAATTGTGCCCACCAGAGTCCACTCTTCAGTGGCTTGGTGAGCAAATCTGCCATCTGAGCCCCTGTAGGGATCCAAGCGAGTCGGCCAAAATCGCGTTGGTCCCCTCCTGTACAGTCTCAAGGCCCTGAGCATCGACGGAGACTCCGGGAAGAAGTGGAGGGTGACCCAATGCTCCTTGGATCATTGTATCTTGACCTGAGGGTGAAGAAAGATTGGGGGCTCCGGAAGCCTATCTGGGCGTCCACGTCGACGACTTTCTCTTGATCGGGGACGATGGCCTGTGTCAGCTCTTGAAGAGAAGGTTGAGTGAGGCTTTCCCTATCCAGGAGTGGGAGAGCAACGCCTTTTACGTGGGGTCCTACATCGAGATCGGCGAGGACAAGGTTACCTTGACGCAGTCCAGATATGTGGGCACCTGCCTCTTCACCTGGAGACTCGTCCTGAACAACATGATTGGGCACAGGCGGATGAAGAGCAACGACGTGACAACATGTCCTTTCAAGCCAGTCACGGCCAGACCGTAAGGCGGATGTGTTCGGAAGCGATGAGGTAGCATCTTCCAGCGAAAGAGGCCCAGTAGTGTTGCCCTTCCCGGCCAATCAGGACTATACCAGTACCAAGACTTCTGGTTCTTGGGCTTCCGGTACATGTGCACATGGTCACCGATCTGCAACTCCGGTCCTGCCGCCCGCGTCCTCTGGAAGAGAGCACTTTGCATCTCGGTGGCATTGAAGTAGGCCTCCTTTGCGTGTGTATGGCCATTTCTCTCGCTCTCCTTCGTCAACGCGTGGTCGAGGCTCGACATGGGGTCCTCCGAGGATCTCCTCGGGAAGTTGAGGATCACGACCCCAAACAGCCTGCGATGGGCTGAATCCTGAATCCTGCTTCAGCGTGTTCAAGGCGGTGTTTACGGAGGTGGTGGCCATGGGGACGTCCTCCGCAACGACAGCATTCTCGTCAACGACTTTAGTCCACGCTCCTTGCTGGATTTGTGCCTTTGCCGCGATAGGCCTGATTCTCCTCCCGTGCCATTCGCTGAACCGAGCCAAGCCAGCCTGCAATCCAGACTCCAAGTCCAGTACCAAGGTGGTTGGCGGTCCAAACACCTGGCACCACATCCCATTGAAGGTTGCCTCCATGGCCTCGCTGGAATGTCCTTTCAGACTCGCCCCCAATCCAAATCCGGTTCCGAGGTCGAGGGTTTCATGAACTCATGTTAAGTTCCAGTGCAGTCATAGCACGAAAAGCATCGAGGGCCACGACCTGGTTGAACTCCAGGAGTATCGGGAAGCTGGCCGGTTTCGCTGATGCCTTCTTCGACTCCGTTCGCAGACCTGACGTCTCATTTTCTTGACAGCTTGAACGACCTCAGGTCCTGCTGGAGACGTCGGAGCGCCGACTTGACCTCGCTCGGGATGTCCTTGTCGTCCTGAAGGATATCGCTGAAGGATATCGCTCCTGCTCCTCGGTCCTCGGTTTTAGCATCAACGGACCTGTCCCCAGGTGATCGCCCTTGTCCGCCACATAGACTTCTCCTTTAACGCCGCGGAGATCTCATCCTTCGCCTCCTCCATCTGAGGGGTCTCATTATCTACACAGTCCCCTTCTAGCTCACCGGAGATCTCGTCCTTCGCCTTCTCCATCAGCGGGGTCTCGTCCCAAGATTCCTTCTCCTTCATCTCGAGATAGCGCCCCAGTGCCACCTCCGTGGCTTCATCGGTCTGCTTGAACTCGTCAATGTCTTCCCGGTTCAGGGACATAGTCCGCTTGCCATCATCCCGGATCGACTCAGTGACGACGTCGTCCTCCAGCCATTCTTCCTCCCAGATCGGGTCCCTGTCGTACGCCTCAACGACAATTCCCCCTCCGTTGATAGCTTGGCGCTTCGCCAAGTCGCCGACTTCAAACGGGCAAGATTTGTCTTCTTGACCATGGATCCACAGTACAGCTGTGCGAAGTGTGTGCCATGTTTTAATTTAATTTAATGGTATCACAGCCACATGACGATCCCAGTGTCAAGCTCGTCATAAAAGAGGGGCTCGGCCGTGGGGTAGTCCATGGGCCCAAGTTCCAAGGTCTTCTCCCACCCACCAATTTCCATAAGAGAGATGCTTTCCACTCCGCGAGGGGCTGCGAGCAACTCTGAGGTGCACATCGATGCCGCGATTGTGCGCCGCGTCGTGAGTGTGGCCAAACGTTTGGCCTTTCCCCACAACTGTTTTCGCACACTCTTCTTGGGCCTCGTGGTCTTCCGGGATATTTCGTCTAGGAAGCCCCCGAAGAGGAAAGCGAAGTGCTCGCAGGCGGTCGCGGTCTCGTTGCTCGCGCTTGGCATAGACGAGAACATGGCCAAGCACCATCTTTCTCCAGACCATTCCTCAGTGGCATGGCGTTTCGGATTGATGTGGAGTGGTGCTTCCTTCGTTGACGCCACATGTCCAGGAATTTTCTCGCCAGAGAGGCCCAGGCTTGTCCTTCCAGACAATCTCGGACTCAGGCAGCTCGTCGGGGAACGGGGTGTGCAGCCACAGCCCACCACCTGAGAAATCACCGATTGTCACACTGACCACCCATTCCCTTCCAAGTTGTGGACATCCTTATGCGCCATCGTTTGAGCGTCCTTCAGAAGGACGAAGGATGTCCAGGACCCATCAACTTTGTCGCGCATGCACATGTTGATGTTCCCTGGAGCTCGAAACTTCGGGAGGTGATGCCGCATTGCCCGCCATGGGTGTAGAGACCTCCCACGAACGATTGGCCGGTGGCCCCGTGGCCTCCCTGGATATATTCCTGCGCTTGTTAGTCTTCTTGAGAGGGATGGCTTGCGCCGCCTCCAACACGTCGTCGTAGTCGAATTTCTTGTCCTGGAGTTTCATCTTTGCTCTTTTCTCACACTCGGAGATCTTCTGCTTATAGTCCAGGACTTCGCCATGCTCCGGGATCTCGTGATGGTTCTCCTGAATAATGTACTCGTCGAAGTTGCCTTCCGCGCAGCAAGTGTTCCCCGAACTTTGTGCTTCGGTAATCTCTGCGATTTCAAACTACTCCCTCCAGGCCATCCTGGAAGACCTCGCCTTCGTCTCGATTCACATGCCCCCGGGGCGGAGGCCACGCTGCCCCTTCCACTCCGCCAGGCGCCGCTCCAGGATTGCGATCTCGTGCTCCACGGCCGCCTGTGATGCACTTGCCGAAGGTGCCTGGAGCCTCGTTGATCTCGGTCGTGTCAGGGGGCAGCGCCTCGCCGTGACGCCCGGATGGGCTCTTCGGCGTTTTTCTTGCTGTCGACGCCAGGCTCCGGGTAGTACGGAATCATGGCCACAATTTTTCGGGTCCAGGTAGCCCGCCGCGGTCCTGGGTGGCGCTGTCGCCTCGGCATCTTTCTCGCGCCACGCCGCATACATCTTCAGGTCCTCGTGTTGCTCCGGACTTCCTTCAGTCCCCAGGTTCTGTACCCAGGAGGGGTCTCGTGGAACATCATCCCTTGAAGCGGCCGAACGTCATGAGGGTCTGCGGCCCCATGCCCCCATTGTCTCTCAGCATTCTCATGAGGACACGCTTGTTCGCCTTCACTGACAGGGACATCCCGGCCGTTGCCGCTGCCATTTCGAGCTCCGCCAGCGTCATCTTGTCCAATCTCGGCATCGAATAAGCGGACTCAATGACCGACCGGTTCTCCGGGTTGGTCCACTTGGAGTGCACCATCAGCTCTCGGGCTTCCGCTTCGCGCAGCAGCTCTTCCCTGTTGAGATCCCATAGCCCTTTCTGCTTCGTCATGGTGGGGGCGGTCAAGGACTGCCGTCGGGGCCATGAGAGGGACGCGGCTCAAAAGCGCGATCTGCTAAAGATCTTCCGACCCACAAAAGCCGAAAAGCGGACTTGCTCTCGGGTTTCTGCCACTCATCATGGACTGGTGCATACTCTCGTAAGGACTTGCAAGGTCCTAAGGTGTCCCAAGGAGTCCATTAGGCCGGCCTTTTTGGTCCTCTCGCCATGGTGTGCTTGTCCTCTATCCAGAAGTCGTTACTTATGGGAGTTTGTTGCCACCGCATCGCAAAGGTCTTGGGGTTGAGCCTATCCATGAGCAACATGTTACACACAGCTTCGCTGACCTTCTTGGGGTAGAACACCATGGGACTGCCTTGGGTAGAAGGTCACGGGCTCGGGAGGGAATGCTGAAGTCTCGATTGTTCTTGGGGTGTACTTGCTGGGCAGGTCCATGTGCTTGTCGAGGGTCATCTTGAGATATTCCAGGGCCTCCTAGTAGTACACGAGGAAGTTGGGGAGCTTCATGACGATCAGTTGTCGAGGACGTTCCGGGCTTTTTTAGGTACCCCGCAGGCTCGGGGAAGAGGAGGAGGACCAACGACATCGCTCGAACCGAACTCCTCGATGTTCTCAACCATAAGACTTTCGAAGACCTTAAGGCTGGGATAGATGCTGGATGTGGATCGGCTGGCCACGGGAGACGGCATGGAGTACTTCATCGCGGGTCAAGGACCGATACCTGGACGTGCAGGTCACTCAGGTGGGCAGGAGCCTGAGTGATTTCTTCAGGCGTCTCAAGAGACGCCCTGGTCAATCGATCAGAGACTACATGAGCGACTTCGACAGGGCCTTGGCTCGACTTCACGAGTGTGGGTGCGTCCTCCCGGACTTGGCATCGGCGTGGGTCTTCGTGGACAGGATGGAGTTGGAAGAAGGGGCCGAGCTTAACCTTCTTGCCCGGTGGGCAACCAGTACAACCTCAAATGCTCCAGCAGACGGCCATCGTCCAGTCCAGGATTGCACTTTGCAGAAACCCTGGAAGGGTAACCAACGCCCCGAGAAGAACCCCAGGCGAGAATGTTGGGATAAGAGGCCGCAGACCGCGCACATGGCCGAGATCCCCCGAGGTCCACGACAACAGCGATGGCGGGACAGTGAGGAGGCAGTTCCGAGTCGGTTGCCCTCGAGTACTACGAATCGTTTATCGCCCACGAAACGGCGAAGCTACCGCGAGAGCATGCGACTTCGTGGGAGCGACCCAGGCTCCCTCCAGGAGATGGCGGCCGAGAAGCTTCAGGCAGCCAAGGCCAGGAGCTACTGCGCAGGGCGCCGGCGCGCAAGGGGCATTGGCACAAGGACCCCTGCTGTCCTTTGAAGTGGGCGCGCTACATCCTCCTCCACGCCTCCCTCCAGGACGAGTGGAGCATGAGAAGGTCCCCAACTCTTTGGCGGCGATCGCAGGGCTGCTATGGATCGAGCACTACATCACCTTGTCCCGTCTGGGGCGACTCGGTGATGGATGTGCAGCACAGCGATCTTCCGAGCCCTGGGAGCGAAGACTACCCCCTCTTGACCACCGACACCGGACACCCCGGCCTTTTTGTGGATCCAGTGTGCGCAAGTCCTGAGAATTTTTGGTCCCATGAGCCACGAACGAGATGCGCATCGTTCCGCAGAGCGTTGGGGTTGAAAGGGAACAGGGTGCCAGTGGCCTGGCACAGGGTGAGGCCTTGCTGGTTCGGAGCTAGCCTCGTCATCCGTCTCCACGCTGCCGCCTGACGAAGAAATGAACGGGCCGTCGCCCCAAGGTCCTGTCTCCAGCACGAGGAGGGCTGTCTTCGGAACCCAGACTCTGCCGTCCTGATCCATCTCACCAGCAGATCCGGTGGAAGTAGTTATTCAAGTTCGCCACGGTTTGCTCGTCTCGCGTGGCCATCGTATCGTTGACGCCAGCCCTATTGGCTACCCACTGGCCATCGCCCCAGTAGTATCCCCACCAGGAAGAGACCCGGCTTGCACTCCACTTCCAATCATGCTTTCCGTCCGAAGTCTCAGGATGGTTCGCGTCCACACGATCAGGCTCTCCGACGCTGCCGTCGCCTTTGCCGCCACAGCGGCGGATCATGTAAGGGAGAAGCACGAGGTCGCGGACCAACGGGCCCATAGAACGAATCACTTCCCACAAGCGGGCGCAGCCGACATCAAACGAAGGACGCCCTGGAGCCGTACGTAGCTCCGCTACCAATCTAAAGCTAAGAAAGACCCACAGGGCCCGGCCTCCACAACTCGCTCCTTTTCCATTCGGAGCCAAACTCGTGTGCCTTCGGAGAGACAGTCGATCGCCAGCCGGGAGGGCTATCGGAGGGTTTCTTCCGCAGCGTTACAATTATGCACGAGACGGTTGCAAAGAGCATGTTGCAGTTTCGGGGCGTGCTAATAGCCGCAGTTGTACCACACTGGCTACTGCCGCAACGTTTATGGTTAAGCAATTTCCCTCAAGGTTAGCAAAATACAAAGCGTACCGAAACCCAGCGGGCTGAATGGCACAATCGTTTTCGTTGAAAGTTTGAGGCCTGGCTGTCTGAACGAACGGAGAAGGAGTGCACACAGAACCGTTGCGCTTCCGTTCGTTAGCTCCGCGAAGCATCTTCCAGCATGTGCGAGTGTTTCGCCCTCTCGTTTAGACAGTAACTCGTGGGCTCTCGTCTGGGCGTGCCTGCCTGTCCAGGTGATCAGGGAAAGCTCGGAGAGGGGCTTGCTGCACGAGGACCTCCTGGACTTCTTGGAGGACGCTTCGAGTGGAAGTTGCCTAGGCCTGTACTTCCTGAACCCCCGACAGAAAAAAAGATATTTGCTCGAAGTGTCTACAAAACAAGTAGCCGGAAGGCTTGGTAAATCAGCTTGTTTTCCATAGCTTCGGGTCGACCACCAACCGGCAAAGGCCTTGGGAACCGGGAACCAGCATGCTTGAGGATTCAGCTCGAGCAGGCTCCACCCTCACTTGTGAGATATATAGCTGCGCAGCGAGGTCCGTCCTAAAAGGCTCTTACACTGTACAACAGTTCGTGTCTAAGCTGGATGTGGGCGAAGCGAAACCGTAAGCTTCAGGGCGTCGGCAGCATCGCGTAGCCACTCGGACCGCGTCAGCTTCTGCGCGAAGGAAGAGCAGCGATCCGAGGCCTTCTTCTGCGGTTGCATCACGGCCTATTCCATCCCTTTCGTGGTGAGCACTGCGATACAGATGCTTGTCCAGCTGGGAAGCATGTCCTTGAGCATTTGGCTCTTCGCAGGCTTGAGCGATTTCACAATTCAGGGTTGCGACGGTTAAGATCCAACCGAACAAAAAGAGATATGGGGGTCCTGGTTTTCTGCAGCAGCTCCAGTGCGCAGGCTACGCCGTGCGCCTGTGTGACATAGAGGACGACGACGCGGCCGAAGATTTGCAGCCATTGGCAGGGGATGGACCCGAGCTAACAGAAGCCGCCGTCGATGACGCTCAGGTGCATGCACCTGTCCAACCGATGTCGAATTGTGCAACATCTGTCTCTCTGGTAGAAGTGTCTGACTGTGTTGGTCTTCCTACGACTGTACAGGCGTAACAAACATGAGATGAGAGGTGCTTGTCATAAAGCATGTTCCTCGTCAGGTGTGTAGTCTTCTCCAGGAAGCTCCACCGCAGACTGACGAACATCGTAAGACGAGCCAGGAAAGTGGTGAATGATTGCGGAAATGAGGAATCAGGAATCGAGCAAGGGCACAGAGTTTAATCCTTGCTGCACACAATGAGCAAAAACAATGCACAGCGGGATAGCTTTAGTCGTGTGCTTCAAAGCCTCTTCATCCTGAAGTCTCGCCTTCTGCGCTTCTTATACCATCTTCGTTGCTGTGCTGCCATCCTGGAGGTTGCGCAAGAGCAGGAGGACTTGCAGAGCGAGAAGACTGGCGCCACTGTCGGAGATGTCAGGCTGGAAGTTTTCTCCAGGCAAGCCAGCGAGGAAGAGGTCAGGACGAAGCCGCTTCCCCAGATCCTTGGCGTCGCCGCAGAGGTTCGAGAGGCAGTGAAGCTCCCTGAAGCCCCCGATAGCCCCATCACCCATCCTGCGGCCACCAATGCAAAAGCAGTCCCGGCGGAGACTCTGATGGGTTCGAACGAGGAAAACGAACAGTGTCTAGTTGATGACGAAGCGGGGCAAAGTTCCACGGTAGGGGCAGAGGCAGGCCTTGGCACTAAGAGCCGTCGCACAAAGGCTAGCAAAGTCCAGAAGAAGGGGAAGGGCGAAGCCTCGAGGAGGACCAGGTCCAAGCCGTCGACCGCAACTGATGCTGATTGAGCACCAGGGCATGGCCGCAAAGTATGGGTTGCGCGTATGTCCAGTTGCCTGCCACTGAGCAGGGGTTTTGGGAGGCTTTGCTTTTTGTTTTTGTTGTAATGGGTGCTGAGGGGTTGGGGTTGAGGGGTTGGGGTTGAGGGGTTGGGGTTGAGGGGTTGGGGTTGAGGGGTTGGGGTTAGGGGCTAGGCCGAGGGGGGACAGGGCCGAGGGCTTGCACCTGGGCTGTGGGTGAGGGGTTGGGGTTTGAGGGAAGGGGGGCTGCGGGATTTAGTGCTCAGGGGTTATTCAGGGGTTGGGGAGTGTTATTGAAGGGAGGGGTTGCTGAAGGGGACTATTGAAGGGAAGGGTTATTGAAGTGAGGAGGTATATTCCACGAAATATATGGAAGGTTTCATGGAAATAATTTTCCATGGAAATTCCATCTTAAGCATCTTGAATTTTAGCCCTAAAATCGGTCTCTGATACGATTTAGGATTGTGGGGTATATTCGAAGATTACTATGAATTAAGGAATAATCATCATGAAGGTACCAAGAGAGCGTGAAACTCAAGATATGAGAAGTAAATATTAATTACACATGAATCTTCCATAGAGATGAAACTAATGAAAAGAGATTACAATGGTGTTTGGATAGGAATCGCACACGGAAATTCCGTGAAGATTTTGGGGAAGGATGGAATCTATTCTGGAATAGTGGGCCTAATGATGAATCTGTTTAGCACAAAGAGGTCAGGTCAGTTCCATGGGGTGCTAGTTTGACTTGTACATGTATTTCGGGTTTAGACCCTTTCTTGATGGCGGACCAGGGATAGACTACCGACTTCATCGTGGACGCGTGTGGATAGAAGATCAGTCCTGTGTCCGGTCGCAGCTGTAAGCTGCTCAAGAAGGGCCCTTCTTAGTACTGTAGCAGCCTATATTGTACAGTTTTCGCCCCCGTGGATAGTGTTCCTGTACGTCGTGGACCTGATTGGCCAACTCGCATCCGGAGGAAAGAGGAGCCAAAAGGGTCGGGCGTTGACGAGGAATAGATCCTTTTCCCTAACCTCGGGATAGTTATCTGTTCTCTTTACAACTCATAGCCGGAGGCCGGAGGATACTGAGGGCAGGTGGCTGTTCAGGTAAATATCGGGATAGGTGTACAACACGCAGCCGGACGGCTAGTGGATACATCTAGAGCGATAGGTTACCACCCCCTGGAGATAGCAACTCTGGGGATCCTTCCGATAGTTAACGTCGGGAGTGGCTTGGAACAATAGGCTAGCTACCTTGAGTTCCCCGTTGACAGGGATACTGTTACTTCTGGTGCAACATTACAACCTACAACTGTAAATATACAACTTCTTTCTCCTCGTGTGGCCTGAGCTAGTTACTGGAGCGGGTTGCGCAAGTTTTCATTGGTTTGGACACTTCGCACAGGTTAAGAGCCTTGTTGCTTGGCCTGGACGAGCTGTTCGAGAAGTTTTCTTGGTATAGCGAAGAGGTACCACTTGCATAGCGAAGTTTTCCGCATTTGTCACTTGTGTTCGTTGACTGCAGCAATGTCCACACGTGATAGCATTGGGAGCAGTGAGTCTAGCGATAGTGATGTATTGGGAGTAGGGAATAGATTTCTCGAGGACCAGGTCACTGCGGTCAATCAGGATGTGGCCGCTGCCGATAGTCATGTGAGAAGCATAGCCGACGCCGAGAACGTGAACTTCATCGACGACGGACGGAATAGTGGAAGGACGGGAATGGAGACGGATAGCAGTGCTGATAGAGATCGACTCGGCCTCAGGTTCTCAGGACCGCTTACTGTAGACATCAGGTCGAGTGCTGCGAATAATATGTTAGTGTCAGGACCACCCCCAGGACTGACGGATAGAAACTTGGAGATCGTGGCGGCGATGGATAGTGTGGGGAGTTCGGGAGGACTGGGCTATGCCGGAATAGCGGACACGTCGGGCACTCAGGGGAGGGACGCAGACGAAGGATTGCAGGAGTTGCTCGCAATCCCGTCGATAGCAGATAGAGGGGATGCCGTAATGCAGCTCAGCATGCTTGCAAGCCGTCCTGTAGTGTTTGATCCAGTTATGGGAGCTACAGATTTAAATGAGTATAGGGCCGGAAGAGGTGGGATAGAAGCGGGAAACGCTAGGACTCCGACGCTTGCTATCGAGGATCTGGCTGGAATAGATGAAAGGATGGAAGAGGGACCGTTCGTCATCCCCTCCGAGCCTGTGTGCCACGGGACGAATTACGAGTCAACGGGAGGTGCCAAGGGAATCACTGGTTCCAGGTTAGAAATGGCGATCGAGGACAGAGTGGATAGTCTTGCAGTGTCATCATCGTCAGATCATGATAGGACGATCAGGAGGAATGATGATGGAATAGATGCGATGATGCCTAGTGGCGAGCTCGGTGCGGAGGGCGATCGAACGAGAAGTGCGGATAGCGGACATTGGATGGGCAGAGGGAATGGAGATGATCTCGTTCCAGGAGTGTATTCGAATAGTGCGACCATGATTGGGAATGTCGGTGCCGATCCTACAGACCTGGAGTTGATAGCTAAGGGATCGTCAGCGGTAGCGCAGAACGTGGTCAGTGAGAGCGATGATAGAGCACTGTCTGTATTTTCATCTACAGGTCTCTCGGAGGCATCACCAGGCGGGAACGTTGAAGCGTTGAAAGATGTGGGGATGGGTCAGACTACGACGATCGGAATAGAGTGGGGATCCCATGGAATCCGGAGTACGCTCGAGGAAACGGGGGTCATCACTGACATGGACTTTGCGAAGTTCTTCACAGATCAGGGGCCAGGAGAGCCTGGATCAACGCCCATGACGATGCAATCGGATTCGCAGGAACGGTGGAACGCTGGGATATATGGTGCCGAGATCGCAGGGGTAGAGAAAGACAGGTCACGAAAGATGTCGATGGGGTCGGATAGTGGGCACTCAGGTGGTCGATCTACATCATTGAAGAGGGATAGCCCGGGTGGATCGGAAAATGGAGTTGGTACCACCAGCAAGATAGGCAAGACGGATGAGGGACTGCGTAAGCAACGAGCGGAGCAGGCCGTTAAGGAGATGAACCAGATAGCCGAGAGCGTCCCCGCAGCGAAGAAGTCGAAATCGACAGAAATTGGGGGACCGATCCATCAGGCAGGAATGATCACCCCGGATCAGGGTAGCGAAGGATGGGGCAATCGATCCCCGGCTCCACGATCTCCTGGGATAGGTGGGCAGTACGAGCATTTCGGGATCGATACTCCTCCTGAAGGACGAGGCAGGAACGACGAGATGAGGGCAACATCATCCCCACCCAGGCGGGCAAAGATGAGAGCTCCTGCTGATCCGGACAAGTCGTCGTTGGGAGAGATAGATGGCAGGATAGATGACTTGCAGACGGTGGTTGTGGACACGCAGACCGACGTAGCTAAGCTTAAGGTGGCAAGCGAATGTGCAAGTGCAATTGCTAATAGCTCAGCGGAAAAGGCGGACATCGTGAGCAAGAGATTGGTGGAATGCGAGGAGGAGGTGAAGCACTGGAAAGGTTGGATAGAATCGCAGCAGATAGATACCAAGACAACACTGTCGCAGGAGCTGAAAGAGATGAGTCGGATCATGGACGGGAGCGTCAGCGAGGATAGGATGGATGATGCATTGGCTCCGCAACTGACCGAGGGAGCAATGCAGCTCGCACGGAGAATGAGACGGCAGGTTGAAAACGTGAAGGTGCTCAAGACCTCTGTTACGACTAGATTGAAGGGAGTGGAGGAGCGATTGTCCACAGCGGAGCATTCAGCGGACATAGCCAAACAGAGTACCGGGACGAAGATCACCACGTTAGAGACAGGATTGAACGAGGTGAGACGTGGCATAGGTGTAGTCTTCTCGAGCATGCAAATGCGACACGAGAATGGAACATGGAAGAACGAGAGACTGGATAAAGTAGAGACGGTTTTGAATAGACAGTGGGACCAGATCAAGATAGCGGGCGAGGAACTAAGGAAGCTGAAGTCCAAGGGGAGCCAGAAAGCCGGAACAGATACGACATCGTCGTCACATTGCAACAGCCAAGGAAAAGGTCCTGGATGCGGATGCAGAGAACCTGGCGAAGGTCACGGCACGTGCATAGATGGGGCAGTGCGGGGCGAAACCAAGAAGCTGAGTGAAGTGGTTCTGGCGCAGAAGGAACACATAATGACCGTCGCGAGAGAGGTGATAAAGAACCGCAAAAGCGTGGCTGAGATTGTGGCGAACATGACAAAGGTTCACAAGACTTGCGAGAATGTCGCGGCAAGGACCGATCGGATGGATGAGAAGAGAAACGGAGAACAGGCCTGGGTGAAGGATACCGTGCGAAAGATGGAAAAGACAATGGAGTCAATGTCGAGCCGTATGATAGATGAACAGAAGAGAGTCACGGGCGAATTTATCCTTGTCAATGCTCGAATTGATGAGAGCGCACGGAACGAAGGGGTAGGCAAGATGCGAGGAAACAGTGCGGAGATAGGAAAGCCACCGACCATGTCACGCGGACGAGATAGTCATGGTGGGAGTGGGGGAGCCGACGGAAGAGCCAGGAGCGACAACGCCCGAGGAATAGAGACTTCGAGGCCGGAGTCGGCAGGTCCAGTGGTAGATCGAAGGATTGAGAATAGATGCATTGTGTTAGAACAGCAGGTGACCAAGATCACTAGTCAATTGCAGGGGTTGACCACTGTGAATGAGCGGATCGTGAGGGAGAACGCTAGCCTGCTTAGTGAGATAGAAAGCATGAAGGGGGAGAACAAAGGAGTGACAGAGTCGGTAGCGCGGATGGTTCGGGATAGTAGAGATGAGATATCTAAAATGAGAGCGGATCTTGATCTCCGAGGTAGAGAAATGATAGAACTCAAGGAGAAGAACGAGCAGTTGGAGGCAATGGTACGGGAATATGAGCGGAGACTGGAGCAGGTGAAACGAAACGATAGCCTTAAAGCAGAGCTGGATAGCATGTGGTATAGAATCGGT